GAAAGAAAGAAAGAAAGAAAGAAAGAAAGAAAGAAAGAAAGAAAGAAAGAAAGAAAGAAAGAAAGAAAGAGAGCCTTGTTGAACTCAGTGAGGAATACTTCTGAATAAATACTCAGAAAAGTGCACTCTGACTGTAGTTGTCTTCAGACTTACTTGGGAGTATGTGCCACTAATTGCATAAACATGCAATTAAAAATTTAAAAATTAAAAAAAAATCTCTTATACCAGCTTTTTCATTGTTCACAATGAAGAGAGTAGTATTACATTTAAAACTCAGTAAGAGATTGGTGATTGGTATTTCCAGGGAGTAAGAGCACAGAAAAATAGTAAAGAGAATTTAGCTCTTAAGCAAGCATACAATACAATCCTTTACTGATGGATTTGTTCGTTCATTTGTTTAATCCTCATTATAATTAATATTTGAAAGAAGGTCTGTAATGCTTGCATATATTAAAACAGAATGTAATATTGTACTTAAGTTATCATTTTCCTGGTTCCTTTAGCAATAAGGTATGATTGAAAGAGGTTTAGCATTTATTCATTGGATAGATACAGAGAAGAACTGAGATTATTAACTGATTTGACAGTAAGTTGAAAATACACATATCTTGCTTTGGGCAATACAGTCTTTCATGTGATCTTAAGAGTTCTGTATATAATGTCAGCTTTCATGAAACTTAATAGGAACTGCTCCCAGAGAATAAAGATACCACTTTAACTGTGAATTACTTTAATGCTTTATTTCATATTTCTTTCTTCTAGAATGTATCGAAGAACATCTAGCATGGTTGGTTTGGCCTATCCAGCTGACGTAATAGCAACTTTTAAGGTCAGTTGAGTTCAGTTACTGTACAAAATACATTCAATCTCTCTCAGTAAATTTATTGAGAGAAATAGGAATCAGATTTTTTCTTCTTCTTGTATAAATTGCATGGAAAACAACATTTGTAATCTACTTTCATAAACAGATAATGACAACAGTGGCATATTTACATTTAATTAGTTCTGCTGTAAACACGGCTATCGTTGTCCATATTTCTGAAGGCTATCTATCCATTTCATAACAGTTATAGCTAATTATTTGATTTCAGCTGATCTTGCTACAAACACAAACATGGCCAATGGCCATCTCAGCAATGTGGTTAATTCGCATTAGATTTTCTTCACGTATCTGAGCCGTGAAAAGAAACTAAAGCATTTCTTGTTGGAATTAATCAAAATACTTCTGTTTTAAATACATATATGGGCAATTCCCAAAGGACTGTGATTGTGATGCTCTTTCTTTTTAGTTGCGAGGTCATTTAGACGTTATTACAACAATAAGGCTTTTCTGATTTGAAAGTTGTTGCGTTACGTGATCATTATTGTTATGATTAACGTTCTGGATTAGAATTCATTTGCAGAGTGGGAGGCTTACTGCATTTCTACTGTTTCCTTCTCCGTTAACCAAAGTTTTGCGGAAGTGATAACTTCTGCACTAAAAATGTTGAAGGTTCTTCTCAGATAGGCAATCCCCAACATGCCCTGTGAGGAGTGATGAAGAAGTGCTCTTCGGTGAGAATGCCATGCTGCTTCTGAGGCTCCACATGTGGTTCATCTGTGAGAAGAAGCTGCTAACCAGCAAGGGAGCAAGGCTCCCATAGCAATAGTGCTGATCTCAACATCATATATTAATAATGATCTTATTTTCCAGTGCTTATATAGCTGAAACCGCATCGGCCATACATAAGAGGGAGGTGTTATCTGCCTAGGAATAATTTCAGCAAAAAGGCTGAGCAGAGAAGGAGAACTTCTGAAATGGTCTAATAAGAGCTGAATATGTAGTCACAGAAGGTTTTTATTGCAGGTCCTATGTAGAGGCAAAGCAGGATGGCCTTTTCTTCTGTGAAGAACCAAGCAAATAATTTGGTAGAACTTGATGGATAATGTAGAATATAATATAGTCATGCTTAAGCATTTCTAAATTTTCAGTGGAGGACATTTTAATATCCAGTGAACGGTTCTACTGAAAGCAAAAAGCTTAGGTGTACCTAAATCATACCATCTCTCTCTCTCTCTTTCTCTCATTTGTGCATTGCATTAAGATTAGATTGGACATACATACATACATACATACATACATACATACATACATACGATGCTCAAATAGCACTTCACATAATCTAATGATATTAAAGCAAATTATAAAATTATCTGAAAAATATTATATGAAAAACAATCTGAAAATCCATAAGTATTTCCCCCCTCCTTATTTTATAGGATGTTGACAAATGGTCATTTGACGTATTTTCCCTAAATGAAGCAAGTGGAGGCCATAGTCTGAAATTTATGATGTATGAATTGTTTACCAGATATGATCTACTGAGCCGTTTCAAGGTGAGAAGCTTTCTCTACAAATGCATATTTAAAAGACAAAGGATACCTGGTCTTTCTTACTTCCTCAATAGACTTGGTAAGTGGAAATTCCCCACCTGTCCTCTCATATGCCCCTCTAGCAGATTTGGAGGCACACAGGGAGCAATGAGAGAAGAGGCAATCCATAATAGCAGCGGTATGCATTTGTAGCACTCCTTTAAATTCTCAAATGCAGAGATAATTTAATGTGCTTTTTTAATGTGCATTTGATTGCTTGCGATAAGTGGAACCCATTTTAAAAATGATCAAACAGAACAGAAAGAATGGTGAACCTACTCCTCCTATGCTTCTGGGTTGTTCTGCTAGGAAGAACTTGGAGAATTGGGGAATGCAGTCCTGCCTACGAATCATGTGTCATGTAAGTTCATCTGCCATGAGAACAAAGGAGCAGAATAGACACAAGTTGGCATGCATTATGTTCATGTATTAGAAAACTAATGAATGAATCAGCTCTAAGGTTGTCATGAAATGAGAACTTGTCAAAGAGCAGCATCTAAAAATATTGCAGGCACTGAGTCTCCTTTCAGATGCTGAGGCCCAATGATGGGTAAGTGCCTTGAATAGGAAGCAACAAATTGATGACAGGATAGGAGACTGCACTTGCAAAGGCCAAAGGCCAGGACTTTGGACTGTAAAAATGATGGGTGTCTCCTCAATAATAAATCCAAGTGAGGTTCTGTAGGCATTATCTTAGACAACAACACAAGATTGGCTCTGTAGTGTCTCCTCTGTTCTTGTCAGGAAGATTACTTTTGTTGTTTTTGAAAGCCCAGCTGGAACTGCTTGGCACTGTATAATGATTGCATAAAATCATGACTGGTTTATTTCTAGCTTGTTCCATTCCAAAAACTTGGAAAAAGATATGGTTCTCTGCCTGTTTGGTGTGGCTCAAAAGTCAAACAATGGTATTGCTATTTTTATTTTTAGATGATACAAGGGAAACATGACTTTAGGAGTAATTTCACCATTAAAGGAAGAAGAAAGGGACTGTCTTTGCATCCAGATTATCAGACCAATCAATCATAGCTCTTGTTTCCTTTGTCAGGAGATTATTTACTACTGTCTCCATAACATGTCCTTAATCCTCAACCTAGCTGAAATTCAACCATTACCAACTGTGGGAAAAGTTACCTTCAGTAACCAAGTGGAATGTCTGCGGGAGGGATGCTGGTAAGGTCTGGGTGTTCCATCCATTTTTCCCCTGAAGGACTGTCAACCTATCAACATGAGATGGCAGCAAAGGGTGGTGGTTGTCTGGATTTGTGCAGCTGCTGCATAAAAATGCTCTTGGAGCCAGAGTTCAAGAAAGGGGTTTTGGTGTGTGAAAGACATGTGCATCTCTGGGGTGCTCTCAGATATATCCACATAATTTCTATAAAGTCATCACTGACCTGTCAATCAGTTGAATTATCCACCACTAGGTGGTAGCAAAGGGAGATTTTCTACCTCTTGGCTGCCATCTAGTGGCCTTCTGGATTTCTTCAGCCCAGATGCAACTGCTGGAGAAGTGTTGTTGAAAAGCTGAAATAACTTTACTGACATGTGTTTCAAATTACAGTGTATATATAGTCCTGATGATCCAAACTGAAAGGGAAAAATGTGCTGTACATTCTACAATGAAATTCTTGAAAAGAATATTTATTTATTTACTTATTTATTTATACTTCAAATTTAGTCACCACCCATCTCTCCCAGTGAGTGACTCTTGGTGGTTTACAGTAAAAACAAAAATAAATACTGGTTAAAATACTGATTAAAATACAATAAACCAATGTTCAATTAATAAATAACATCTTCCACAGTAATTATGGTAAATTATGGTTGTTAACCTGCGGGAGCATCTTCAAGGTGCCAGCCACCCCCAGGGTTGGTTACCCCTCCTCACGCCCCACATGAATTGGCAGAGCCAGGTCTTCACCCCTTTCTGGAAGGCCAGGAGAGTGGGGGCCTGCCCTACCTCTGGGAGAACAGGGTGGGGGCAATGGCAGAGAAGGGTCTCCTCCTGCACCCCGCCAGTCAACGTTCTTTTGTAGACGGGGTCTAACATACCTTCTCTGTCTGACCAGGTGGGACGGGTCAACGTAATGGGGATGAGACAGTCCCTCAGGTAGCTTGGTCCCATGCCATGTAGGGCTTTAAAGGTGATAACCAACAGCTTGAATTGGACCTGGAAGCAAACTGGCACCCAATGCAGCTCCCGTAGCAAAGGTGTTGCATGTGCCATCCTTGCGGAAAAATTGCCCGCATGGCTGCATTTTGCTCCAGCTGTAGCCTCTGGATACTCTTCAAGGGTAGTCCCATGTACAGTGCATTGCAATAGTGTATACAGGAAATTGCTATGGCATGAGTGACTGACCGGAGGGCCTCCTGATCCAGGAAAGAGCATAACTGGCACACAACACAAAGTTGAGAAAGGCCCTCCTGGCCATGACTGCCACCTGCTCCTCAAGTAGGAGTCGTGAGTCCAGGAGGACACCCAGATTCCACATCGGATCTGCTGGGGCAGTGCCACCCCATCCAGAACCAAAGATGGTAAATTCCCAGATACAGAGCAGCCCTCAACCCACAACCACCTGTCTTACCAGGGTTCATCTGAAGCCTGTTGTTCCCCATCCAGACTCCCACAGCCTCCAGGCACCTTGAAAGGGTGGTCACAGCATCACTCAAATCACCGGGGATGGAGATGTATAATTGGGTATCTTCTGTGTATTGATGATATCTCATCCCATGGTGGTGGATGATCTCACCCAGTGGTTTCATGTAGATGTTAAAAAGGATCGGAGAGAGTACCAAACCCTGTGGCACCCTACAAAGGAGGGGCTGCGAGCTGGACCTCTTGCTGATATCTCATCCCATGGTGGTGGATGATCTCACCCAGTGGTTTCATGTAGATGTTAAAAAGGATCGGAGAGAGTACCAAACCCTGTGGCACCCTACAAAGGAGGGGCTGCGAGCTGGACCTCTTGCTCCCTATCAACACCGACTGGGACCGGCCTTGAAGAAAGGAGGTGAACCAGCGCATAACTGTGCTGCCCACCCCAACTCCCCAAGCTGACCCAAAAGGATACCATGATTGATAGTATTGAAAGCTGCTGAGAGGTCAAGATGAGCAAGGATGGATGCACTACCTCCATGCCAGTCCTGCCAGAAATCATCCAAGAGTGCAACCAGTGCTGTTTCCGTCCAATGTCTGGGCCTGAAACCTGACTGAAAAGGGTCCAGATAATCCAGATATTCCATGAAGAGAGGAACTATGGAGTTAGGACTTCCCCAAGAGCAGCACCCACCAAGAAGGGAGTTCCTCCTGACATGAGCTATGAAAGCACACAAGTGGAGACCTTTCCATTACATTTTTACTTGTGTTAGGCCAGGGATGGGCTAGTCAATTTCAGGGTGTCATACTCTGTAAATCAACCAGTCAACCAACCTGTTTTTTTTAGAAAAGGAAATAGCTGCAGAAGCCAGGTTTCCAATCTCCCTTGCAGCCAAAACAGCACTGAGCCCTGGGACCAGACAGAAGAGGGTTGTCCTGCAACAGACTTGCTGGGCCAATAGGCGGGTGAGCAAATAGATGCCCCAACCATATCACTCCAGCTTTCTCTTCCATGTGCCCTGAGTTGTCTGGATGGGAGATCTGTTTTCCCAGGGAAAACACTACTTTGACCAACCTCAGCTTGCCTCAACACCAGGCTGTTCTATGAGATGGGAGCTCTGTTGTGAGGATTCAGCAAGAAAGGCAAGTAACCGGCAGTGTGGATGAATTCTAAAAGTCACAGCATTCATTAAGCCAGTGGAAGTTGTGCACTGCATGCAAAAGAAATGTGCCACATTGAGATAATGTGAGAAAAACTAGATAGCTGCATTATGACGTGACCCACTTCAATTTAGTAAGTGGTAGAACCTGGCCATCTGGAACTGGAGGTATTCACATTCCTATGATTTATCAGGGCAGGTGCAAAAAGTTTATTTCAGAGTATTCATATCTTCATTTACTTTCCCTCTTTTTCTGGTCACATTTGGAGGCTGAAATGGCAAAACTGACTATGCGTGAAATCTTGCAGACCTCATATCTGGCACTGGTTGATCTTGGAGATTTCTCCCCCCTCCCTTTCTTTACTTTACTTCAGTTTTTGACTCTTGCAGATCCCTGTTCCAAGTCTTATTTCATTTGGAGAAGCTTTGGAAATTGGCTACAGCAAGCATAGAAATCCTTACCACAACTTGATCCATGCAGCTGATGTTACCCATACTGTACATTGCATCATGCTTCTGACTGGGATCATGGTAAGGGCAAAAGCTACAGTGTCAGGGTTCCTTTCTGTGAATATTGCTAGGAATCTTATAAATAACTTGGGTAAGGGTAAGCTATAATTGTCTTCATGTTCTCTTGAAGAAACCCAGGATTATGTAAGACATGTTGAATCTTTGTTGGCAGAGATGAACTATTTGCATTACAGATTATTTTTTTTCTCTCTCTCTCTCCTTGATTAGCACTGGCTCACTGAACTGGAAATATTAGCCATGATTTTTGCAGCTGCAGTTCATGACTATGAGCATACTGGGACTACAAACAACTTCCACATTCAGACCAGGTAAGCATGATGCTTATTAGTTACAACAAAATTCTGATCTGGGAGCAGGCTCCAAATGTTGCATTTATATCAGATTTGCAGATGACGCATTCTCACACTAGTAATGCCAGCAGTACATTGCACAAATTCCTACTAGTACAATAGTTGCTGAGTTTCAAGAAGACAAAAGGGGCACTGGACACTGACTGAGAATGAGAGGGGAAAAGAGACAAAGTAAATTGAGAGAATTAGTTACCCTGGAGATGCTTCGGGTCTGCACAGTTCAGAAAGAGGACAATTCTGAGTTTCTGAATAGAGTTGCCTATCCTCACTTAAGAGTGGCTTCCCAGATTTAAAGGCTTATTTTTTTTCTCACCATTCTTGAGACACCCAGGGTGCCGTGCAGCAGTCCTAGGAGATAGGCTAGGCAAAGAGAGACTCACTATGAGCTTCAAGGGTGAGCAGGGATTTAAACCAAGATCTTGCTGATTAAAATTCAGCACTCCTATCATCATGTCAAACTTGTTCTGTAGATCTTGTATCACTGTGAAACAGAATGTAGTCACAGTGACTCCCACTTATCCTTTCTCAGTTCCTATTGACCATTTCAAGCCATTTGTTTAGTAGGAAGAAGGGAGGAACTCTCAGATTTATATATAATGTGTGCTTCTTTGTGGTGGATGGGGTAGGATATTGATAATGCTGTGGCTTTTATCATACTGTTCTATCAGGACTTGAGAATCTGTATTCTTCCAGATGCTGTTGGGCTACAACCACTATCATCCTTAGCTATTGACTAAGCTGGTTTGGGCTGGGGATGATTGGAGTTCAACATCTAAGATACCGCAAGTTTCCCCAAAATGTTTTATACAGACACCAGAACATCCTATTTGTGAAGATACTGGTTTTCAGTTGCACTAAGGACCTTGTCATTGGGTCTGATAGCTGTACTGCTGTATATCATGATACAGTCTTTCCCTCCCTACATATATCCTCTGCCTCTCCTGAAGTAGAAGACTCTCTTTTGCTCACCCATCACATTGCCTGGCCATTGTTCTGTTTAGTGTTACATTCTCTAACCGCACACATTACTCAAGGAATTAATTACTCAAGGAATTACTAAAGGAATTAAACTGATCTATTTTTCCAGTATCATATCTGTTTTCCAGGCAAAAGCTAAATACAAGTTTTTACATCCCTTCTAGTAATTTGAACTTCAGACCCATTTCTGTTTGGATCTAAAATACATTGGCTTTGTGTGCTGTGGGAGTAGGAAAATGTTCTTTCCATTCAGAGTAAATGAGAATGAGAGAAACAGAGAGAAAGAGATAGAGAGAAGGGGCAGATACGATAGAATCATTGATCTGCCAGGAAATAGTGTACCTGGAAGAATTCTATTACTCCTCTGAAGACCCAATCACTTCAGGATGGTACCATCTCTATTTATTGCATATTTAGACCATACCTCTATGCTTACAAAGTATCTAATATTTAGCATTTCTGCTGCCTGCGATATTAAACACCTCTGCGAAACAGATTTAATCTAATGTTCTAATCAGGGCATATATTCCTATTCACCTATATATTTGAATGGAAATGGAAGAAAGAGAAATAATGCCATTTTGCTACCTGCAGTAACAGCTTCATTATAATGTGGAAGTATAGACGCTACAGTTGCTAAAGGTTTTGTAACCTCATGTCCAGCTGGTAAAGTTTTTGCAGGGTTTCATTTCAACCAGCCATAACTCCACTTGCTAAGAGAACAGATGCATAAAACCATAGTCATGCTGTGAACTTCTGCTTATTAATTCCCTCTCTGCGTTTAGGTCAGAGGTTGCCATTTTGTATAATGATCGTTCTGTTCTTGAAAACCACCATGTCAGTGCTGCTTATAAGATTATGCAGGAAGAGGAAATGAATATTCTGATGAATCTAACAAAAGATGAATGGAGGTAAGACTGGAGTCCTGATTATTTATTTATTTACCAAATGTATACGGCCGCCCATCTCACAAGAAGTGAGTCTGGGCAGCGTACAACAATCAAATAAAACAGCAAATATATAAAACAATAATTATAAAAATATAAAACAATAATTAAAACTAAAATATTATTAAAAATTAAAATATACAAATCACAAGGTATAGAGAGAGTGAATATTTTTAGCTGCAATAAGATTAAGAACATCATTCATATTATCCTAACAATCAGAAATCCAATGCTCATTGACTGGCTGCTGTATCTTTATAAAAACAAAATTGTATCTTCTAATGTTGGCGACCTGCATCATGTGGATATTTTTAATCCCCCACCAGTGCTGTCTTCCAATAAATGAGTTACTAAGGTGATGTGAGAGGCAACCAAATCATGTTCAGTATTATTTGGGATATAGTACATGTTTGGTGAACTTTGCCGCTGTAGAAAGCTAGTTTGTCTGAGTTACCCAGCAAGGGATAAAGAGGAGGTCAAGCCATCACAATCAACTCTCTCAAGATCCCAATGTGATTTCAGGTTAGGTTAGGTTAGGTTAGGTTAGAGACATGAAGCTCAGTATCCAAGTTCGTGGCAGTGGTGGGTATTAGTGAGGGACACTAATACCATGGTTTCAGTATCCAAACACTGGAGCAGTAACTTCATTCTCAGGAAGAAAACGATGACATCACTCAGTAGTTCAGGATTTAATACCTTGTGGGTGAACATTACCAGGGACTCTATTATGAAACATATTTGAGATCATGAGAGGCTGTGGTAGTTGTGTAGCCCTGGTGCAGCGGCTGAGGTCTATTTATTAAAATAAATTAATAAAAATGGTTAGTCAGAAAAGTTGCTACCAGGTTCCTGATTTAGCAGCTTTTAGAAATAACCAATTCTTACTTTTTCTCGTACAATTCTTACTGCCTGAGTTCTAGTTCTACCTCAGGCACAAATCCAGCTGGGAGACCTTGGGCCAGTCACTCTCTTCTCTCTCTGTCTCAGCTCCGGGAAGCAAGGAATGGCAAACCACTTTTGAAATCTTGCCAAGAAAACTGCAGGGACTTGACCAGGCAGTTGCCAGGAATCAAGACTGACTCCAAGGCACCAATTAAAAAAAACCCCTTACTTTAAGGCATAAGCCTTCACAAGCTTCAGCTCGCTTCATCAGATACATAGTATGGCTTGACTGATGTGGAATTATGATACATAGGGAGGAGGAGGGGAAGACAGGGTAAAGGTTTAGCTAGAACACTTATTTATTTATTTATTTATTTATTTATTTATTTATTTACTTATTTAAATGCATTATAGCTGCCCAACTCCCATGGACTCTGGATGGCATGCAGAATTTAAAATTCAATCCAGACAAACATCATCTTCTTTCCTGAAATGGCTGTTAATTTGCTTCTCAGGAGCTCATAAGGTAGCATAACCCTGATAATTGCCTCCATGTTATTTGTCCTTGTTGGCATTTGGTATCACCCCCTGCTTCAACAGGGGTGGGATGATGGATTTTCAGATGGACAGAACTGAATCAGGCCCAACTACCCGTCTGTCAAACACTGGTAGATATATATTACCTTACTTTATCATATCTTTTCTTGAAAAATTAGCTTAGAATTTTTTATGACACAAAAATCCTTCTAAATCTCTCTCAGAAAGTCATCAAAAATTAAATGTAAATAGAATTCATAGGTGGTAAGTACACTATAGCTCCTTAAGTTTGCATTACATTTATCAAAGTCTTTCTAAATTACGTTGGAGAAATTGTAACTAAATGTGTAGATATACAACTCTCTTTTGTATCAGTAGTTATTCATGTTGGTTGAAAGGTTATAATAAAATTGAAAAAAATACATAACAGCTCAATGAATGCTAATATGACTTTATTGTTTGCCCCCCCCAACATATAAAATAATGAAGCACAAGACATGAATTATTTTATTGTAGTTATTATCTGCTAGGTTTACTTCATATGCAAAGGGGAAAATTCCATCTAGACACACCCCAGAATAACAGACAAATTTACTGCATCCAAAGATGTCTGGATGAAGCACTTAAAATGGCATTAATTTTACTCTATTTGTACCAATTTAAATTATTTACATAATGAGATCATCATGCAAATGACACATTCCATCATTTATCATGAAGTCATGCAAATGACATCATTTACACATCATACATGTAAATCCATCATTACATAAATGATGTAAATAATTATCACCATGGGATTTTGTCTTTAAAGAATGTTCAGGAAGAACAGAGCCCTTTTCCTCTAAATGGTCAATTAAATCAAGGTTTTACTGTGTACCTTTCTTTGAATCAATGATATTTAAAAGTGTAGGAAATAGCTTTGGCTGAAAGATTAAAACAGTAGATGAGAATCTAAGACCCTTTTAATGAAAGCTTATTCACATTTAACCTCCATGTTTTACTTATATAAACAAAACAGTTCTTAATAGATTATCTACATCTGCACAAATATCTTCTTGCATCTTTTTTATTCTGCCAGGTTAAAAAAGTACTCCAGCAGTTTATATCATGAAAACATAAACAGAACAGAATTTAAAACATTAATAGAAATAATAAATATGAATGCTTAAAATTGGATATTTCTCCTTAAGATCACAAATACAACTCTCTTTTGTATCAGTAGTTATACATATATATAAGTGCACGTTTTGTTTTTCTGCAGTTTCCGTTGTCTGTTGACAAAATTTTGTCATTACAGTGTGGTTAAATGTAAGTTTAAAACATGGGGGAAAGAAAATGGATTTGATTTTTCCATGAAAAATGCGTTTTCTGTTAAGAATTAGGCCAGTTCATTGAAAAATGCAGACCCAGTGAAATTCTCCAACACCTCTCATGAATGCCAAGGCGTATTCAGCTGCAGCCTCTTGTGATAGCTAAAAGGCAATTCCTAAGGGTTCAAGCAGAAGATCATCTGCCAAATTCTTTGCATGTAATGTAGAGAGGACAGAGATTGTAATTGGAGTGTTTGGATTAAGAGACATTATTCTATAGCAATATTCCAAAGGATTTCATTACATCTTATCCTTCAAGGCAACACCTCTCACCCCCCAAAATTCAACCTTATGTTACCATGGCTGGACACTGTCCTTTAGGAATAGCAATCTATTTACATTCATAAAATTTTTACATTGATCCAGAAGCCCATCAGTTTTTCAGCAGAGGACTTCCTTGAACACTCCTGAATAATGCTTAAATGTTACCATGAATTAAAAGTAGTTTTTGTGCCTGCCTTATTCAAGAGAGGATTTTAAAAACAGGAAGTCGTGGGAGTAAATGCTGCAACTGAGATCCTAGATAGGGAGATAGATTCAGGCTGCTCTGCCTCAATAACCAAGGGATCATTCTTTTTGTATGGGGTTCTAGACTTTGTTGATGCACTGTCTCTATCTACCCGCCTCCCTCTCTCTGATTCACACCACCACTACCACTAGCAACAACAACAATAACATAAAAGTGGGAGAAGAGAACATTTTGTTTTTTCCTAAAGATTTGTGCTTGGAGGTAGAGGGAAATTATATTTTCTGCTGAAAGCCACTACCAGCAGATCTCATTTACCAATCATTATTTGGTTACATTGCACACTCTTTCCCTCTCAAAACTATCAGAAAAAATGGCCTTAGGAAAATATTCCTGAACATGCATGGTCCTAGAATAAGTTAACATCAAACCATTTTGTATTACTCACTGACCAGCTCAGGCAGTTACCTTTGTAAGATAGCATAAGCTAGTATAAAATAAACCAAAACCTATAATCATAAAGCAAACTTATCCCAGACATTTAATTGAAAGGAAGTTGCCCATTACTAATCAATGGACAGATGCTACATACTTTCCTGTTTCCATGGAATATGTTTCCTTTCCAAAATATGATAAAGGGCAATCTTAATAATTCAAGGTGTTTGGGCAGGATTTACCCCTAAAGACTTTTCTGTCACAAATTTGGTGACCTCCTCATCTACTACCTCTACCACCTTAGAAAGATCTTCCCAGACTGGGAGCCCTTTGCAGCAGGTTATCTTTTGAAAGGGGACCTCTTTCTCTAATTACATATTTTAATCTAGCTCCAGCTATTTTGTGACTGGAGGCTCTTGTTTTCTACAGGGCGGTAATGTGATAGTGTTACTGGAACAGGCCTAGACTTTGTGGCTCATTCTCCTTCATTTAGAGGGATGGTGGGATTTTTAATTTTATAAGTATGATCCTGCTATTAAGATCTTAGCATGCTTAATTCTTTTTCTTTTTGTTGAAAATTTAGCAGAACCAATTTTAGGCCCCAGAAATGGGGCTCGGGCCCAAAAGCGGATTGTGGGTCATGGATCACCCATTTGTGACCTGTTGGTTGCTTCTGTCTGTGTTTTCCAATGAGATGGTTAGATACTGATGGCAGAATTATAACGATGTATATGTCAGCTCACTGCCATAGTGGGCAAGCAAGAAAGCCTCCCATTGTATCTAAACTTCTGGTCACGATTCTCTAAATACTTGCAGTAAAAAGGAATCTAATAGTATTAGTAAGGTTATGTTTTTAAAGCCGACTAGCACAAGGATTGAAGGTTACAGTTCATTATTTTAAGCAGTTTAACCTCTTAATGTTGTTTTTGCTTCTGAGAGACAAATGGGTCAATGCAGTACAATCCACATGCCTTGGTATAAAATTAATGCCATTGTAAGTTAGCCACTTTGATTGCCCACAGGGAGCTGCGCAACCTGGTTATTGAGATGGTTTTATCTACTGATATGTCTGGGCATTTCCAGCAAATCAAGACAATGAGGCACACTCTCCAGCAAACAGAAGGGTAAGTGGCTTTCTTCCATCCTTCCTTCTGTTGCTGCAGGCGGGGTAGTTTAAATGACATCCCCAACCTGGAGCAAGGCTCACCTTTGCAGAAAGGTAATGAGAGAATGTCTTTGAATGGACAGGATTGACAAAGCCAGAGCCATGGCCCTGATCCTCCACGCTGCAGACATCAGCCATCCATCAAAACTGTGGGATCTGCACTACCGATGGACAAAGGCCCTGATGGAAGAGTTTTTTCGACAGGTACTACTCCCTTCTCTCAAATGCATGTAATACATTTCGCAAGGCATGGCAAATAGAATCAGGCATTTCATCAATTTTCCTTCTCTAATTTTTTTTTAATGCAGTCTTTCAACTGCAAATTAAAAATGTAAGTAATATAGCATTGACATAAAGAATTGAAACAATCAAAGAGCAAGAACAAAATACAGGAGCAAACAGCAGTCTAAACCTGGACATTCAGTATGAAAGAGTTCTTTTCGCAACCTCTGAAGGTTGTCGTATTAGGATCAGGAGGGCATTGCATGGGGGCTTCCAGGATTGGAAAGACCTTCCCCCACTCATCTCCCATGTGATGGCAGGTATCTGGAGAAGGGCTGTGCAGGAACCCATGAAATAAAATAAATCCCTTTGAACTGTTTTCTAAAGGGATTGTACTGGCATTCATTTTCCAAGAAATGGGTGGGATTTTTGGAGGTGCCAAAAGAAACCCTTCGGACACTTTGTTTGTCCCAAAGTAATCAAACTAAACCCTTTCTTTTATTTTGGAAGTGTGCATGATATTTTTATAATCCGGCACAGTAAGATTTCAAAGAGTTCAGATATACCAATAGTTATTAAATCAGGAATAAGCACTGCTCATACATGTCACCCTTTCCTTTCCCTTGTGCACTAGGTTTAATATTTAAGCATAGTTTCCTTCAGGCCCAATTTCCAATTATATACAAAATTATTGTGTAATGCAGCTTTCTGCAATCTGGTGCTTTCCAGATGGACTGGAACTGTAATTTCCAGAATGCCCACCCAGTATAGCTGTAAAGCTTGGAAGACACCAAGTTTGGAAGGCTGGTTAATTATTAAATTCTAGCTGGATAAACCAGGACTTTAAATATGAATCAAACTGTAGTTTTAGAGTATGGTAACTAAACAGCCAGGATATCACAGTTCCTTTTTAGAGTAAACTGATTTACAAAAAATCTCAGTTGACATACTGAAGAGAGTGCATTGAAGAATACATAGCATTAGGAAACCTATCAAAACTTCATTTAAACTGAAATTTGATAGAGGCATGCATTACTGGATGCAGCTGTTATTGGAGTTGCTAGATGATAAGAAAATATTTGTTAGCAGCTTCATCTGGGTATTTAGAACAAACCCAGAAAAAAGCTGTAGCATAGCATGCTTGCTGTATACTGATTTCTATCCTATCCTATCCTATCCTATCCTATCCTATCCTATCCTATCCTATCCTATCCTATCCTATCCTATCCTATCCTATCCT